GAGAACATGCAAACTCCTCACATAAAGGAGTGCAGGTGGAATCTAACCCTAACCCAGGATCTTCTTAGATAGATAGATACTTTATTGATCCCCCGTAGGAGAAATTCAAGTGTCCAGCAGCTTACTTAACTAAGCTTACTGGGAAGCACAAGCGCTAACTACTTAGATAACATTTTGATTAATTGAATAATCAAAGAAACAGTTGCTAGATTAACTGATAATCAGAATAATTGTAAATTGCCACTCTGATATTAACAATACTAATAAGTTAATATATAGAAATATGATAATTTGTGTTTCATCAAATCCATCCAGAACATTTTGGAACATTTCATCTCGACAGCAAATTGAAAAAGAAAAAAATGGCCTGAGAGCGCAAACACACTTCCTTTTACTTGGGAGACACCACAAAGCCACCGCACAAGGGCGTAATGGGAAAAATACAGGCTCAACTGCGAGTACTTATTTCAATCAATTTCCCAGCGCTGGATTTCACAGGTCACTTGCTGATAACACGCTGTGGAATAATGCCACCGCGTGCTCCTCAAAGCCTACCTGACAAGTGCGGCTGACAGCGGGGGTGCGCGCGTCACGTCAGCCTCCTAATTGGACACAAGGACCTTACTGCACTGGCTCCCGCGGCCTTCAAAACCCGCGCCCATCTCATTTGGCAACCGGTGTCTGCTCCACTCCTGCCGTGCCACTGCTAAATACCAGCGTTGTAATGAGACAGGTATAGGGGGTATGGCCGCTGATAACTCTGCCTGACACATGCTAAAAGTGTTGTGCCAACTGGTTACAATCCACTTCCACTGCGCTGCTGACATTTTCAAATTTGCTAACTTGGAAAGTGAGATGGCGAGGAAATTATAGGTAAGAAAGGCAAAAGAAACTATGCCGTTATGGACGTGGACATTGCCCTGCATGTCCCCTATCTGTTTACATACCATTGTGAATGCTTTGATTATAGCATATCTCGGCTTCAGGCCCCACCCCATCACTGACCAACAACTGGTACGCACAGTTCAACCCTGCAGGACAGGAAATGAAAAGGAAGCGCTCCATCTGATCAGCTTCTGCGTCTGAGACTTCAAAGTGCAGTGGACGCTGGGCGGAGAGGAGACATAAGGATAGACCCATTCACAGCAAAAGGCCCTATCTGATCTGCTCCGATAAACATCACTCAGTTTGTTTGCTTCATTTAAGCCAGAGGAGACTCTAAATCTAAAGTACATAATGTTTGCTCCATTTCCAAGAGAGCATCATGAATTTGAAATCACGCTGGTATAAGTGACATAACTAAGTAAAGAAAGGTATTGTCTGGCCACATGTTCTTGCCCCATCCCTTACAGGCTGACATTTCTTGATCTCCAGCAGTATTGAGTGAAGCACACATGACCCCTTTGTCCTTATGTTGATGAATGACTGCCTCATACCCATTTTGTCAGATTTTGGTGCAGTGAAGTCGATAGCGTCACCTTGACGAGGAAAGTTTGTGATCCATCAGCCCTCAAGGCTGTCTGGCCACAACTAAAGGCCTGGCAAGAGCTGCTCACACTATGGGGCATCAGTTCTGTCCAAAATCCTTCACCCATTGTGCTGTGTAGGGTCGAGCGAGCACCTCTTATTACTGCTGCTTTACAGTGAGGGGAGAAATGGAAGAAAAAACACTTGACTTGTACTAATAGCTGGGAAGCCCTGCTGGTCACCAAAGGTCTGAAGACGAAGCACCCTGTCAGTGCCCAGCTTGGGAAATTAGCAAATAATGTTCCCTTCCCCCTGACAAATGTGTGACAGCTCGCCTTCGCCAATCATTCTCTCTAACGTTATGATGCATGTCCCGGATCCCCACTGGAGGATACAGGCGAAGTTTACTGACCCTCAATTTACCCATGACAAATGGGGTCCCGCTAAATGTGCGTTTTCTGGGGCACGGAAGGGGTTCATTTTAAGCAATCCTGGTTATATGGATGTCACTGATTAGGATAAATAGTGGCTGAGTGTGTTAGAACTGCTTGCAGAACCATATTACCAAGGGCCTGCACCACTGCCCCTGGAGGGGAGTGCTTGTGGAAACTTGGCAAAGATAGAAAACCAAACGCTCTGATGCAATTAGGGACTTAAATTGGATAAACTGTTTACTCAAAGTTTTTATTTATGATTTACTTGTTCACACACTACTAAAACAATGTAATAAAAATAGGTTACAACACTGTAAATGGGGCTGAAAATTGTTCCAAATAAAAGCTCTATCCTTTGCGTAATAAAAAAAAGTGTAATAAAGTATTGACTCAGGCACAGCTTGGACTTTCTCCTTTTGATTTTCTACAACCTTGCTGACAGTTGGCTCTACCAGTTCTGTCCTGACCAATGGATAACCAATACATGGATTAGACAGAGGACACGCAGCCGGCTCTCAGGGACAACTTTTGGTGTGAAAAAGTGTAGACTATAAAAAGCTTAAAGCCACGTGTCATTCAGTTCAAATGTACCAATTAAAGTGCACATATAAGCTCCATGGAACAGTCACTAAACTTTTATGCCCAAGTCTGTTTGTGTCATTAGTGTTTTATACTTTCAATAGTCAATGGCCACAGGATTATTGGACAGCCACTACACAGCTCTCTCTTTAGAACGCTTTGTGAGTCTTGGAGCAGGTCCAGAGTACTAACTCCACTGAGGACGTGTCCCATTGCTTTCCAACCCACTGCAGGTCTCTCCTATGTTGACTCACTGTAATTTGTGATAATTTCTTAAATTGAGCAGGTTAAATCTGCACAATTAGGCTGGTGGTGCAAGAAGAGTCAACATGAAAAAGCAGTGTGCAGACCTCTCAAGCAGGGCTCTTGAGTCACGCTTGAAGCATATGCTTTGATAAGCAGACCTTTGATTTGCACATGTTGCTTTCAAATATGACACCAGGACATTGTGTTCTTTATACAGCGCCATGTCACTACATTGCCCTTTTCAGCTCTGCTGATTTGCTATTGTAACTCAGGTCAATTCAAATCTATTTGCTCATGCCTTCCCATTTATTCAAGCGCTCAAACACAGAGGAGAAGCGGTGCTTTGAAACGAGCAGTTTCACTCTTAAATACATGATCCAGCCTCTTGTTCTCAGCCCATTCACATTCTAATGCTCAGCAGAAGTAGTTCACATCATTCCTCATAGCAATTACAGTACATATGGAACAGTGATACCTAATTCTACCGTTATGCTCTTTAACAGTTTCATTCTCTCTAGCATCAACCCTCATACAATCAGGGTGAGCCACACTGGGAATAGCCGAGCAGACAAAGTCGGACCTGTCTATTGGTGACTTTCTCTTTTAATTCAGCGCACTAATCAATTGTACCAGCATTGCCTCCAGGGGTAATTGTATCTTTATACTAACTGGAAGTGAGTAGGAACCAGGGGAAGACAGAGGGGAATAATAGGGGGAAAAATCAACAAAGATAGAGAAGGGGACACGTTTCCCTAGTACAACCTGATGGTAATCGTCCCAATCCGCTTAGCCTCTGTGACTAATGGGGTCTGTTCTTCTGGGACCTGGCACTTCCACCAGGGTGCTATAGAAGCCATTAATGTCTTAACTTATACACCTTCTCAGGGCTGCCTCTCTGCACAAACAGACACACTTAGCGCCACACTCGCGCTCCTGTTTCATTATCCCGCTGCCTCGTTGGCCTCTGCTCCGCTCCTGCTAGGGAGGTTAAACGCAGGAGAGCGAGGCCAGACTGCACGCATGGAGGCCATCGGAGGGACGGGTGACTGGGGGGAGTGCTGAAGGTTTTGGGAGCTTGGGAGTGAGAGAGGGAGGGAGGGGATGATGAGAAACAGCTGCCCCAGGATGGAGGGGTCTGGTTGGGGTTTTTGAGGGGGTTCGAGGCACCCACTTTGCAATTGTGCCGTGCGCTCAAGGCTGTGCTGGGTGCTGGGGGGGGTTTGATTCTGCCCATCAGAGGTAGAACAGACAGAGGCTTCCAGGTCAGACAGCCTGTGACCTCCACAGCTCTCGTCTCCTCAACAATGATGACAGATAAGGCCAGCACTTCCGCCTGAGAAAGTCACACATACTTTCTCACAGGCATCATCTGTCTTGACCACTGACCTGTGATTTTAATTTCGGAAAAATCCACACAAATAAATATGGATATTTTGAATATGTCTCTCTTTATTCTAGAATTCTTTCTTTTTTTAACATTATTTTTTAACATGTAGGAAACTGCAATTCTGCTCAATTCCCACTGGGTGCCGCCAAAACAAACACCCACAAACTTAGAAACCTAGTCTAAAACAAACGAAACTTGAATTAATCTTAATTTATTCCATGGAAATATAAAGGTAAAATTGTACTAATTCAATAAATATGACAGAGGCCCTCCTCCAGGACAAGTCAGACACTGTAAGAACATACTTATCCACTTCTTTAATTGCAACAAAAACAAAGAAATCAAGACATGCTTTGTGTTGTGTGCTTTCTGCAACAACAAAAAGTTACCCAGTGAGGCTCACACTTAAATCATTTGCTCCAGCTCCATTTCACATCTCTCGCTCATATCATTATTTTGATTTTGTATAAGCCTTCTTGCAACATCTTCCCATTAATCTCCACTTCTTCTCCCCTCATGTGATTGATGCTATAGAAACCACATCTACACACGTATGACAAAATGGGGGAAATTAGCTGAAAGTGTTATCCGTCTCACAACGGGGCAGATAAAGAGAATTGGCACAATGACTTATCCTGACAGCTTGAGTTTAACAGGGCTTGGCAGCGACCTTGTATGACGGCGGGTCAGGGGGGGATTGGATTGCACTTGTAGGAGCTACTCGGGCAAACACCTAGCAGCAGATCTCACACGTTTAACATTCGCCGTGCGGGTCTCTGGTTAGTTCATTATTAGCACCCTGAAAGCTGCATCTCGACAGGGGTGAGGAGGAGAGGGAGAGGGGAAGGCAGAGGGGAGGGCGGCGGAGTCTTTGGATGAGGACTTACCAGTGTAGACGAATCTCCCAGGGGCACCTTTGCAGAACTGCTTGGACTTGTAGGACAGCGTGACTTCCACCACGCCGGGGATGTGTCGGGGTGGAGTCTGCACCCGAATAGCGTGGGGAGTTATCAGCTGGAAAAGAGGAGAAATAATGAGCTCTTTCTTAAAAACAAGATGTTAAGTCGAGTGTGTAATTGGCTCTCGCTTGTACTGACAGTGGAGGGAAGTAACTAGATACATACATAAGAGATGTACTTGTACTTGTACGTTTTGTAAAGCACACTCTAATGACCAGTGTGCAAGTAGTTAGTTGAAGTAATAGTGAAAGTTGACGAGAATATTAGTATAACAAGTCGCATTAGTGGCTGAGAAAGTTAGTTTTAGCTCACAATGCTGGTGATTGGACTAACTATAAGCATAATATGGCCTTAGAAATACATTGTGAAAAACACTGAAGTACCATTTACAATATAACAACAAAAGAAATAGGGAGCTTTCTGACAGTAACAAAGTGATTTTTTTCAATTCTTAAAAAATAAATCTTTCTGTTTGAAGAGGAATAATCTCACAATTATACACACATTTGGCATTAAAGCTCCAAAATATAGTTTCCCGTTTATCATTTACTGACTGTTAATCCGTCTTTTTTAAAACACTGAAGAAAAGAGAAAATACTGAGATGGGACATTTAAAAAAATGTAATACATCCATCCATTTTCTTCCCCTTAATCCATTTCTGGGTCGGGGGGGCGGCAGTCAGAGTACACCCAGTACACTTAGCACCAGCCCCTCACTGATCCTCCTGCAGGTGGTGAGTCCACAGGAGCTGAGATCTTTTCAGTTGGGGCTTTGGGCAAAGTAGGGTTAAGTGTCTTGCCCAAGGACACAACGACAGCAGTCATCAGTGGGAGTCGTGAAGTAGGTCTTACGGTGGGCTCAAACCCACGACCTTCAGGCCCAAAGGCCAATGCTCTACCAACTGAGCTACTGTCGCCCTAAGTATTATTAAGTAATGGCAAAAGTCAAGTCAGGAGTCAGGTCAATAAAACATAGTTCTCATAATAGTTACGTAGTAGAACCGTGCAGTTGATCAAATTCTGATGCTGGCTTTTAGTGTGTTCAATAATAGTGAAGCCTCCTGCTGGTGCCCAGAGACAGGACTAAAGAGGTGTCAGTGTTTCATATTAATGCAACTAAAATCTGGAACAGTCTTCTCGAAAATGTGAGATGGGCTTCTACTCTGATCATTTTCAAATCCAGGTTTTAATATTTCTGTTTAGCCGAGCATACAACTGAAAAATGTTATGGGAATTTTTATTTGTCTTACGATTGCAATTAATTATTTCTAAAAAGGATGCCGTTAGTGCCTTTAACTCCATCTCGCACTCAATTTACTGCTGTATTTGTAATTTTTGTCATGTGACTTTTACCACTGCCTTTTTTTATGCATGCCTGTATGTGAGCAATTGGACGCTGCAATTTCCCTCGGGATCAATAAAGTTTATTTCTATCTATACACGGCAAGTTTGTGAAGGCTATTTGAATTAACTAGCCTTGCATAGTAGTAGTAGTAGTAGTAGTAGTAGTAGTAGTAGTAGTAGTGAATGAGGGGTTTTTGTGCTTCAAAACTTATAATAAAATATTCAAAACTTTTTCTTTAGCTTTTAGTAGTATTTTGAGTTTCCCTCTGGCCTCCATACCTCACTCCATACGAGCATTGTGCCGAACACGACTTGTAGGCCGTCAAAGAAGTTGTCCCCGATTATGATGACAGTGGCTCCTCCGGTGGTCCATCCCTCACTGGGGCTGATGGCCTTGATGCACGGGGTGGCTGCTTATCCAAGACAAAAAGAGAAGAGCAAATTCAGCACCAAAATCTCAACAGCGAGGCCCGCTAACGTCTACTCTACACAGACACCCCCCTCCCCTGAACGCTCAATGTCTTCTGCCTCACAAAGACATATCATGAAAATCGCCCCTAGGAAGAGAAAAATGATGGATTTGTCCTTTAAGGCGTGAGAATCAAAATCATTTATCAGCGCAGTGGAGTGGTGTAGTTAAGCAGACCCTTCAAATGGTCCACTTCACAAAGGCTAAACGCTGGGCTCACAAGGAAAATGATTTGATAGAGCAAATTATGTGTCAGGGCAAATGTAGCTATCAGAATTGATTAAGCATGCACCCAGCGCGGCGTATAGTGCAAAATTTCAAAGTTGAACACATCTTAAATGAGTCAAGAATGTGAGCCGTTAAAGTGTAAATGACAAGCTTTGGCTGTTTCATGTGATTCCATTACCTTTGTTCTGCATATGCAGGACAGAGCAAGAACGCACTCGCAAGTATCAGATTTCATAACGTGAAATGCACTCATGAATTATTCAGGCTCTGCTTTTTTTTCTTTTCTTTTTGTGATCGATTCAATCCATTTCATATTGTTTATTACAATGCTTTTCATCTGGCATGACTTGTGCTACGTAGCTCTGTCATTCATCAACAGCGCGGCTTGTTATTATAATCTAATTTGAGTGATCTGCTGCCTCACATTCACTGTCACTTGATGCATTACCTTAATATGGTGTTTGCCACAACACTGTGTTTACAACAGAAATTGCATGACAGCTTGCCATAAAATAGCAATATCAAATTTCATCTATTTCCATCAATATCTGTGAATATGCTATGAATTGTGCATGTTTTCCCGCTGCTCAGAATGCGGGCAAGTATTCCGGCAAGTTCCTATTTTTGGGGGGTGCTCAGTTCAGAACCTCCATTATCCCTTTCATCCAGTGAGTAAATCGCAGTCAGCCATTGTTGTATGGATCACCTCAGACAAGACATCTCCCTTTGTTTGCCTTGCTGTTGGGTCTGCTTGGGTCATGTTTGCTCTCGCTCTCTGCCCATAAAGTGAACACATACACACGGTACTACAGGGAATCTGACTTTAACAGGCGCTGTTGACTTCATGCTAATCACCTCGTACGGATTTTCATTTGTGAGGCCTGGAGGAGTGACATTTGCTTTCCTTAATTGCGAAGCGGAGCGTCTGAAAGAGGACCTAGCCTCTATGGGCATGCTGGGCCCCCTCTAAGGGCCTGACCTTCATCAGTGCGGACGATTACAGCAAATAATTCACCCTTCAAAATTACTGTAAACAAATTGACTTTGGGGATGAGACGGAGTGGGAGGGGGGCAGCAGGCAGGAGGAGGAGGAGGAGGTACGGAGAGGGCCGAGCGGTGGCGGTTGGGGGGCAGCTGTAGCCTGGATCCTCCGACAGGCATACAAAACAGCACCTCCCACCCACACACAAGCACCCATGGAGAGGCAGCGACTCGGGCCCTAAGCCGTCCAGCCTTCTGCCTGAACATTTGCATATGTCTCAATGCACAGACAGAGAGGGGAGCATGTGCTGAATGGGGACCGTGGCAAAGTGGATTACACAGTCAGCGCAGGCGATCTGATGACAGACACGCACAATGCCCCTTCAGCACATGATAGGCATCAGGAGGAGAGGAGCGGTCAGGAAGCAGAGCGCTGCAACGCCAAGCCTGCCTCGCTCACTTTTAGCAACTTTCACAAGTTTTATCAAATTGATTTAGTCTTCACACATGCATGAAGATGTTGATCTATGCTTTTTGTCTGCTCAGATTTTCTAAAGTGCCTATGATGTGAAATGCCCGCGGACAGCCAATCTGTGAAGTGTCCTACTGTATTCGCCTCTAGTTAGACTCTGCTGAGGAGGACGTCAGAACTGATCCGGGATCTGAGCAGAGGAGGCCCCCGCTCACTATTGTGACACTCAAACAGGTCTGATGTGGCCCCGCGAAGCCGTCCTTTGTTCTGCCTGCTGAAATGTGTTGTAATTGTGCTGTGGGATGTCCAGATGGTCGGTTGATAGTGCAGCTGATGGGATTATACCTTTTACCTCTCCCTGGGCCATCTGTTCCCTTTGACTCTCTCACTCTTCCTCCCTTTCTCTCCTTCCCTTTCTCCTTCCCTCCTCTCCTCATCCTGCCGTTCTTTCTTCCTCTTAGGCCCAGCAGTCTGGATTCACTTGTCTTTATTGCATAAACCCTAACAGCATTACAGCCACTTGGCATGCAAATGAGGCAGGCGCTGCAGGCTCTGTGCTGAGTATCCTATATTGTCTCGGGCTCTATAATGGTGAACTGAGCTGGGGCGCGTGCACGTGGGTGTCACACTCCGGGAAATGTGTGTGTGTGTGTCTGCACTGTTTGTGTGTTTATTCACCTCTGAGCCCACATCTATACATGTCTGAGTGACAGCGTGCCATAAAGCATGCGCATGTCTGAATCTATTCATGCTTGTTGTGCGACAGTGCACACAAGTGAACAAAAAAATGTCACACACCAGGGTTAAACCTGTCATCCAGATGGCTATAGCTGGTGTGGACCAATAGGGGGCAGCACTTCTTGATCAATATGAGGCAGCTGTAGTGTGAGCAGAGATGCCTCCCAGTCAGTCACTGAGCCACCGGCATATCGGATGCTCCTCGCCCAGTGAACTCCCGGCTAAGAATGTGTTGCTAATTTAAAGCATGCTGTCTGTCTGCCTACAACTTGTCAGGCCGCGATGGAGGACACGCTTAGAATTACATTTTACGACTGCTTCTCCCTCTCTCTAGTGTCACATCTCTGTTTGTTAAAGGTGACTCCCGACAAAGCGCTGTTGATGCATGTTAAATGAGTTTGCGGAGCCGGCGCCTGCTCTCAGTCAGGCAGAAGTGAGAAGGTGTATTTAAGACAGAGACGTGTTCAACTGGGCGCTTGACAATAGCGTCTGCGCGCTTTACGGGGCATCACTCGGGTGCTTTGAAGAGTGCAGGGGAAGAAAAGGATGGGCTGGTGTAACCTGTGAAGAACACAGGCGCACACACACAACACGGGCGGTCCCTGGGGAGCGAGGGAACATGGAGGCGAGGGCTCAACCTCTTTAATTGCTCTCCTCATTAAGAAACCGGTTGCTAGGCGATCCACACCTATCGTGTCATAAACGTGAAACACACAAACAGAACGTCAGTGAACATAATGACTTTGGTGCTCCGGGCAGGACTTTAATTATTTGATTTTGTTCTCCAGTAGAGGAGTCATTAATAAAGACAAAAACAAATAGATTAGCTCTTTCCCCCACTAGGACTGGGGTGCACTGAGATATATTAATTGTCTGGTCCTTTTTTTATTAGATGTTGTTGTATTAAACATTACATTTGCTTTTGGTGATAGAACCATTAATGCCCATTAATGTGTAGAGACGCTTGTTTTACTCAGTGGTGTATATAAACTGTTTGCCCAGCCATAATTGGCTCTTGAAATCTGAAGATAAGCAATTTACACAATTGGAGTCAGTCTGTTCAGCGCAGTTTCTCCTTACAGTCTTTCAGCTGCATGTGCTCCCATCTGCGAGGGGAGGCCATGGGGGTCACAAGGTTATGTTTAGTGCATTTTACTTTTGTATTTCCCATGGTTTGGTGGTCCTTCTCCTCTCTCTTTTTGGCTGAGCAGGCAATCAGTCTATCATATGGAATCAGTTGGAAGAAAAACAGTAAGTTCTGTTTTTCTCATAGAGTCCCCCCCACCTACTCAAACACATGCCCTCCCTCCTCCTTTTCTCTTTCTCCTCCGTTCCCTGTTTCAGCTCTCTCACAGCTTAAATCTGCACAACCCAATGACAGGAAATTGACCTCACAGCCAAATTCTTCTGCAATTTGATCATGTTTCACATCGGCTTTTAGGACAAATGCATGTGCGTTTAGTAATAGAAAACTGGAAATAGTATAGCATTTTTAAATTATAGATAAGTCTGCGCATTATCTTCATTAGTGTAATCAAAATGATAAATATACTGAGTAATGCATGCTATTTCCAATAGTTATTCAAGGACAGGTATGAAGGAGGCAAAAGCAACTAAACGTTAATCATGAGGTGATGGAGTAACCAACTAGAAGTGACTAGGTGCATGAATGTGGCGTGAAAAGGTGTCTAAAAGAAAATTGTTAGGAAAAAGGAGCGTAGCAAATTATAACATGTAAAATGTGCCTACCATTCTCCAGATAAGGAGGCGTACCTTCTGAAGGGTCGAGTCTGCGAGCCCTTCGCCCGTGCTTAGAATTGTTGTGTACAAACATGTTGTCTGAGACAGCCAAGACGTGGCCGTCCACATTGACAGTCGTCGATACGACCACCTAAAGGATGCAGAGAGAAGATTTAAAATAACAGAAAAAACAATAATGAGGAGCAGTTTAACAGGCCCACAGCACACTGCATGTTACAAAGGCGCCAGTCGATACATGAATGTTTCACAGGCCCTGCTATACCAGGTGCATGGCTGTGCACTATTGATTTTTATTTTGCTCTCTTTGGACATATCGCATTACTGTTGCCCTGCTTCTCAGCCATTTTGTTTTTGCTTTTTAGTGTCTTGCATTTGTGTACAGCTAATTGACTTTTCAATCACTAAAATACCATTTCCGTTTGCTCACTCCACCGACTGTCATACAGGACAGAATCACAATTATTGATCAGCTTGTGCAGCTATTTGAGGAAGGAAGGCCTCCCTTTTAAAATATTACTGGAGTCATTAGCAAGTGAACCGTGCGCTATCCCATCACTCAGAAAACATTTGACTAGGATCAGATTTCAAGCCATGCTCCATATTTCATAATGCTTATTTTTGTTGTTATTTTTTGGCCACCACATCTCAAAAAAGTGAATGGCCAAAGTGTTGGGAAGCCGGAAACAGAGAGCCCCTCTCAGGTTTGCTTCGCCGGTAAGTGACCTCGGTGTAGTGCTGGAATTTAGGGGTTGATTTTTTTTCTTTTTTGGTTGGTTTTGGGAAAGGTGGGGGTCAGGGGGTGGACACAGTGAAGGGAAGTGAAAGAGCTCCATTCTTGTAAGCAGGTTCAGAGCTGGGCCAAGCCGAGGATGATGGATTGGGCCCTCTCTGGCCTCCAGCTGGTTTTTGGGGGTAATAAGTGAAGTGGAAGGCATGCAGAATGCACAAGTTGGGTCAGAGGAACACCTATACCGGAGCATCTGGGAAATCTATCTGGGGGAAAAAATGACATCCTAACTGTTGGACCGAGGACAGAACCATCATTAAAAGTTAACAATACATGTAAAACCATGTTGTGTTTGAGATTAATGGTCACGTTGTAGACTCAAAAAAAAAAAAACACTTTCTTTTTGGCACAGCAGAGTAAGTAAGAGGTGAAACCCTTGGTGGCTGTCAGGCATCAGTCCAGATTCAGCCTGAGGGGAGATGGGAGGAGGTAGGGGAGGTCTGAAGGAGGTGACATGGGGACGGGACACCCTGTCTGCTCTGTTTCATGTCCCACGTCTTCACCTGGAGCATGCCGCCTGCCTGGTGTCGCCTCATGTGGCTGTCAGGAGGGAGAGCGCTGGTGACGGACGCCTTCCCAGAGTTTGTCGTCAGCCACAAAGGACAAATGGAGCTAAACCGAGGCTGCTTCACCTTGACCTAGTGCACTTGGGTTGTCTGGGTGCAATGGATGGATGCTCAGAGAATTGCACTGGGAAGGTGGTGCGAAACTGTCCTGTTTAGACCGTTTCATTTGACCATCCGCATGAAAAGTACTTTATTCGAACCCAAAACGGTTTGAATAATATACAGTGAACATAAAGTGTGATAATGTGTTCCTTCTTGATGATTGCAGATGTCTTTTTTTGAAGAACGGCTTAAAAAGTGTATCATAGTTTATATAGAGCTGTTCCTGGTAAATGGAACACACTTCCTTGTGTCATTCTGCATTTGTGTTATATTGTGTTTCACTGTCTCTAGGATGTGCTAAGTATCTGGAATTTTAGCAGAATTTTGAAAGTTTTGAAGGACTTTAAAGACTTTTAAGCATATTGGGTTTTGTGTATTTGAATGAAATGTATTATGCAAATAAATGTTTGTATTTCTCTTCCAGAGATATCAATAAAACATTAAGAGCAAATGCATTTGTTTAAGTGAAAAAAAAAAACATTTTAAAGCATAAAAGATTGTTAAGGATGGTGAGTAGATTTGGGAGCAAGAAGGGGGGAAATAAAATTGCTTTGTGGCCCTTCAACAGTCATGTTCCTTTAGTGTAAATCTTTCGTTTTGTCCGACCACAGCCGTGATGACTTTCAGATGTCTTTTGGTGGTGGGAGCGGCGCATGTGTCAGTTTAAGTGTATGCATGTGCGGATGAGAGAATGGGAGAAGACATACGGAGAAAGTAAATATAAGTATGTGCCTGCATCTGTACATGTGCTCCGGCTGCTGCGTGCTGCTGCATATGTGTTTCCGCTGGCAGACAGATCCCTGAGTTAACACTGTTGTTACATGTGGTGGATCGTCCTCCCCTCTGTGCCGTGGCTTGGAAAACTGTCATCCACACAATTGATGGCACTCTTAAATCCTATATCCTTATTTGTGTCAGCTGGTATTCGCTTATAAATATTCTGTCCGGAGCACAGGAGGCACAAAATCCCCCTTTCCCTTTCTCTTTCTCTCTTTCAATCTTGCTCGTGTTCGTGCCAATAATAGAATTGTATTCAGATGGTGTGAAGGACCAAAAACAGACAAAGTGACAAAGTGAAATGTAGTGGACATTAAGTGTTATGTGGTTCTGAAGTCACCTGGAATCTGCGCATGTCTCGAGGATTCCCTGCATTCTTCAGACAGTTCTGATTACACTTGAGGAAGAACTTTAGGAAGAATCTGGAAAACACAGAACAAAACATGGGTTGATTAATCAGGTGAATACATTAGGAAAATGTTTTTAGAACATCTTGATTTCATTCTTTCAGCCTTTCATACAAGCAGAGCAGAAGCTGTACGATGTAGCTACAAATCGGAATGGAGGGGAAACTTTTGGAACATGTTTTATTTCTTCCCATTATTTTTTACAATAAGCATTTACAATAAACATGATTCTTCTCATGTATTAAAGGGCTCTCCAGAGTGGCATTGCTGTGAAGTAGTAAGGCGGTATAAAATAAAAGACACATTTTATAGTGGCCTACATCAAGTACAGCTGCACTATTTGCATCTGAAGTGATAAATAATGTAGTGTGGAGTTCCCAAAGCTTGGGTGTCTCCCAAATCTCATCTTTGCGCTCTCCTCACCTGAGTTCACAGGTCTTCCCTGACACCCATCTGCCACTAACATCCAGGAAGTCACTTGATATTCCTCCCACCTCTTTAATCCCAGGACACCCCCTGTGCAATTAAAGTTCTCCTGTTCAATAGGGAGGCAAATGAGGCCCACCTGTGACCAGGTCTTGTTTGAAGAGCATCAGGGATAAAGGACCTAACAAGGTGAGAGCGCGCCACAAAACTTATAGTCCTGTCAGGCAATTAGGCAGAGACCCCTGGGACCACCGTACGCCACACACATATAAGGCGTGCACACACCCATGCACTTGTGGGTGGGTGAGGCAATTATGCCACAAATTACAACCTGGCTAATCGTCGCTGAGCAAATGTCAAGTCTGAAGAAGATCTGGGACAGCTTGGTTTTTGCATCCAATCTCCTCTGTGCTTACCCCAGCCTCTCCCAAAAGTATATCGATAAACCTTTGTGCTGAGCTGTTTTTTAAGCAGAGAAGAATAAAAAGACGACCAATAACAGAAATGGCCTCTCACGCTGGCTATTGTCTGACATGCACAGCCACAACCACACTGAATAAACAATGAAATTGACTTGTTGTTCTAGCAAATTCTCCCCACAGACTCAGAGCTGATTGCGGCCTTGCTTTCTCCTGTTCATTATAAATATCATGCAGTGATATTTATTTTTCATCACTCCACGCTGGCATTACTATGTGCAACACTGCGGTCTCTATTGTAATACTAAGTTAGCTCACACAATCGCAGGGGCTCATTGGATTACCATAGATTGCACCATAGATTGCAGGGCCATTTCATTGGGGCTAAATACAGTGGCTTGTGTGGCCTGAGTGGACGCTTTCGCAACACTTAAGAGTCCTGGTTCGCCCAGTGGGATCCTGGCCAGCCCATAAATCAGTCTGAAATGACCCTTCTAACCCTGGCCACATTAACACATGCACTGGTCATTTAGAAGCGCTCTTCGATAGACTCCTATACCTTGAGCTCGTCGGAGGGCCCAGGAGGGAGAAGAGAGGTGAGAAAATATTTTCACTCCACATCCAAGGAGCTTGGCTTGGACATCAATAAAGAAGGCTTTAACCCATGCCAGAATGCTGATTGCCTGTCGGTGTGTGGCGCTCCCATAAAAAACCTAACTTGTCATTAGTGCATTTCACTTGATTGTGTTCACTGTGTTTTGGGTTGCATCTGTTGGCTGATCATCAAAATGACCATTATGTACTCTAATTCCCTGACCCTGTTTTTATTTCCCCAAAGAGACATAATGTAGAGCAGCAGACATCTGCGGAAAGCAGACCTGAAATACGACTTTTATTTGTCTGTCGCCTCTCATACCGATTGGGTAAGGCCATGTGTGCATCGCACAGAGTGTGCGTGTGTGTGTGTATGCCTGTTTGTGTGTGTGTGTGCGCGCATCATGCACTGGCAGACAATTTATGTCAGAGCCCTTGTAGAATATATTTCCTGTGCAATGCATTGACTTCATAAAAGAAACACATTACTTTGAGAGTTGTTCTTGTCTTCTTTATTTGAGAACTTGCTAGTTTTTACATACTGTTTCTAACAGCAAAAGCAAAAGTTAAGAAACAACAAACCCTAGAAATGAAGTGCCCACGCTATCATAAAGTAGCTCCTTTATGTTTACTGTTATGAAGGCAATTAAGCACAATTTCTCTGCTAAAAAGATAAGCTTAATTTTCATAGTCCGCAGCAGTGGCAACGCTATAGCATCCATTACATTTGAGTTGGTTAAGATTCTCAGTGAGCACATCGCAAATTGGTCCTTGGTGGAAACGAGAGCAATTAAGACAAGGCCCCTCTCTCTCTTTTACTTCTTAAATATCTACAGAAGTTTGTGCTGGTGTTTTGGCATGCACGGAGACAAAAGGAGGTTGTTTAATTGTTTTTTAATGGGATATCAAGTCGTCGCTGCCATTAGATGTTGGCAATGGAGGGCAAAGGGGGATAGAGAGAAAGAATGAACTGCAATTAGGTTTGATTAAAGCTATCCTTCTCAATAATCAGCTGTTCTGACAGGACAGGGGGACCCTGGTGGCCGCTGAGATGGAGGAAGGTGTTGAGTGATATTAAGGCCAATGAAGGGGATATTAACATGGCTAATTAAAGCTCTTCCAAAGCCGGGAGAGGAGGCTCTCAGTGGACCGCACTGGATGAAATAATCGGCCGAGGCAGCTATCAGTTGGAGGGGAGAGAGAGGGAAGGGAGGTGGGCCGGGTAGTAGACCATCTGAGGAGGGTGGGAGGGGAGTGGGATGGAGAGGCGTAGCAGCGAAACTATGAAGTGTGAAGAAAGACAAAGAGGAAGACATGGACAGGCATAGAGAAAGTCTTCTCCAGCCCGAGTAGGAAGCTCATTTTGACATCAAGCCTCTGTCTACGCCTCAAGTCTGCCAGTATAACTAAGACCTGACATTGGCTTTTATCTCCGACAGCTAGTCATACAGCTCCACAAATCAACACTAAAACAATCCTGCTCATGCCTTGGTCCAAGGCAATTAATAGGAATCTCCTGTAGAACCTCCATGCTCGCCCACTGCCGAAGCTACTAATCATGCCATAATGATTTCTCTCCCTCTGGTCAAAGGGGAAATAGATTGTCTCTTTAGTAATGCAGCAGGCTCTGCGCCTTCCACTCTCTGGCTTCACAGACCCGGTAATTGAGGAGAAAAAGGCCGACTTTGGCACTTTGACTGATTTGAGGGCTGCTAGACCCTCTTATCTTTACTCTGATCATTTTAGGCTGACACTCAAAGAAAGACCCATCGCCCTAATTCGAGCTCACCCTCTTCTATCATCAAACGGCAGAAGGGAAAAGAGCGGTGGAAAAACAAACAGGCGAGGTGAGGAAGGGCTTCTCTCATTTAAATGACCAACTTAATTGCCGGGTTGATGTCACTCATGCATAAATGTCCATGGCTTTGATTTGAGTGAAGAGGGCAAATAAGGATAATCTTGTATTATTAAGAGGATTTCATCGCCAATGGAAACGGAAACTGCTGTCAATTTCCTTGTTCTTTTCACCACTTGTAAAAGTAAAATAAAAGCTCTAGAGCGTCCTTTTAGACTTGAGTGCTACACCTTGTTCCCATTGTACCAGTGAGTTCCCTGTCTGTGTTTGGGGCCGTTACACAATACACTGACAGATGGTCACAGTATCAGTAAGAGTCAGGTATTGACAAGTCTTAGCTCCTGATTGGTGCCCCGGCACTAATGACTAGCATGCGGTGTCCACAGCCGGTAGCCATGACAGTGAGGTCATCGGTTGCGGGGCGGTGAGTATCGATCAGCAGCCCAGCTTCAGCCCATCAGACCCCAGCTGCCTCAGACTCAATGGGCCCCTGTTACAGAAGGCTTCCAACACCAGACAACAATATGCTGACACCAGATCTCTACGCTGAGATAGTAGTACACGGGTCAATAGCGTATCGGATTTCCAAAACGCCAGGGTCTTAATGTCAAGCCTCCTGCCTTTCCTACCTACTGCTCCAGTTATTAGGCACTTTACTGAACTGCACTCATCCCTATTGTGACAAGGCAGAGCAGGTAAAACAAGACATAGAGACACTTATAGATCTTAATCTTGCCCAACACTTAGTTATGCAACTATATATAAGTCCCACAGAGGCCAAGACAAGCCGCGGGGCCGTGTTCTTCCTATCCTAGTCCGGTTGGCCGCTGTCTCCCCTCATCAGGCCAAGCTGTTTTTCTCGCCTTAGCTCAAGTAAACCACAGCACATTAACAATATTTGCTCTACCCCTGTACAAGCGCCCAGGGACCAGACCCACAGATCCTATCACTTCTTTATCAGGGAACAAGTGCCTCACTATCCAACCTTATTGGGTTTGGAAGATTAACCCTTTCCACTCCTCGGAGAGCAGCCAGGCAGATGTCGCCGTCATTATTATTGCTCAGCACCAAATCTCCCCGGTTGTCCCTGAGAATTTATAGTGTATTTCCAAGGCTATCTTCTGTTTGTTTTTATTTTCACGTTTCTTTCCAATGCAGTTTTGTTGTTCCATATTTCACATTTTTGTTAGCACCGTCGTTTTGTGGGAGCATCACGAATAATTGATGCCGCTCCTCTGCACCCCGAGATGTAGTTGTGTCCCCTCCATTCATTCCTCTTTACCCTCTCCTCCTCCCCCCCCCCCCCCCCCCCCCCCCCCCCCCCCCCCCCCCCCCCCCCCCCCCCCCCCCCCCCCCCCCCCCCCCCCCCCCCCTCCCCCCCCCCCCCCCCCCCCCCCCCCCCCCCCCCCCCCCCCCCCCCCCCCCCCCCCCCCCCCCCCCCCCCCCCCCCCCCCCCCCCCCCCCCCCCCCCCCCCCACCCCCATCGCCGTAATGGGCAGAGTGGCATTGACATTATTTCACTTGAGGATCGCTCACTCTGTCAATCCCTCTTCATTTACTCCATGGCTACTGGACTCATTATGGTATCTCTGACTCTCTCTCTCTCTCTTGCCTCACTTTCTCCCCTTGTCCTCCCCTGCTTTCGCCAATGCTTCGGACACCGTTAGTTTCTTACTTAAAGAGAATCGCTCGTCTTCACAAATGGTTACACGTCAGGCGCACTCTCAGATAACCCCCGCTGATTCCCTGCAGGCTTTGGCACAGGTTTACTGTAACGGATTAGACGGAGACCCGGAGCTCCTGCTAACTATCCATCACTGGCTAAGAGTGGACTAGAGGCTGTGTGCTTTATGCAGCTTTTAGCTCCGACCCGCCACATAACACTGCATGTTTAGCCCGGAGCTCTCCCACTGTCTCTCTCTCAAACTCGCTTTTGTTTTTTCTTACGCATCCACACACAATGCTTGGCGAGCTCGTTCTTCTGTGTTTCTTTGTTTTAGCTCTTCTCTACAATGACTTTGAACACAATATAATAAGACACAATACATAAATAATTCTGCACTGTTGTGACTTGTGTGGTCCCCTTGTAAAAACAAATCAAACATGGGGTGCCGCTCAAGAGCTCGCATCATTTACATTCAAACTAGAATTCATAAATAATATTGAACCGTCACTGGTGAAAAATATGATTACTGATAATGACTATCAACATCGCCAGTGCTGTCAATCATAACTCTTCCTAAAATAATATGTCTGGTATTTGCTGTGCTCTCCAGCTGGCCCGGCTCAGAGGTATTCCTAGGTTATTTTTGTGCACATAAGAAATATGGGGCTTGCATACTGGTCAGTGTCGCAGCCAGGGGCCTGTGAGGAAATACCAGTCAGCACCTCAGCGCTCCAGCGAGATGGAAGATAAGCACATGTTGCAGAAGTTGGCGCAGGTCAATAGTGGTATTTAGGGTGTTGGACGAGGCCCGGGTATGGCCCCACAATGAGAGCCCTCTGCTGCCTCAGAAGGATGCCATCCAGGTACAGGGACTGCTGGGGGATTTGGCTGTTTATCAATACACAAATCTGGTTTGTTGCAACAATTTTGTACACTTGAGTACTTCTGTACGAATGGTGAATAAATTGATTCAACTTTTCCACAAATGGCAGCAGTAACAGAAGCATGACTGAGCCGACTCTGTGCCAATGTAAACATCCTTGATCGGCTTTACTAACAAACCATATATAGAAATAGGGATGGAAACACAAATGGCTTGTGTGCGTATTGATTTATGCAAATTAGCCATGCAGTGTTACTTTAGGATTTTGCACACCGTATTCTACATTGTTTATTCAATTAGCTCTATAAATATCTACTCCTGCTGCCTATACATAATGAGTTACTAGCCACCTTTTTGTGTTTAATATGCGTAAAGCCTGACTTTTGTGTCACTAACACATTTGTGGTCCAAGCATGTACACACATGCCAGGGCCAATGGAAGTGCTAATGAGAGCCATGCAGCGGCGCTCTTCTGTGGCTGAGAGGGGATGTGATCCAGGCTGTCCAGGAGGCCAGCAGGGGGCTGGAGCATTTACTCCTGACATGCTGATACAGCAGGACACGCCGACTTATTTGCATGAATGTGCACGCTTTTGCTGTTTGTCCATGCATGCTGGAGTATATGGGAGTGTATCCCTACATGGTATTATTACTAATGTATAATACATACATCCAAAGTGGCTGTCAGGACTGGTCAGTCATCATAAAACATGAGGCAGCCACTCTGACATCAGCGCCACATTAACGCTTCCTCAGAGGAGGGGAAAAAGCCCCTACTGTGGACTGTCATGTAGGCGGGGGGGATATAGACAGAAAGACACAGCACAGGTCGGTGCTTAAAGCTAACAGGTAACCTTTCTGTGCACCTAGGACAAAGGCAGGGGGGAAAAGAAAATGTCAAATTAAGAGAGGCCAGGCAGAGAGACGTGGTTGCCATATTTGTGTGAAAGCCCAGTGCTGTTGGCAGCAGAGATGGCTGCTTTCTGATTCATCTGGGGCCGTATGGCAAAGCTTTGTCAGTCTGTGCGAGGTATAAATAATTCAGGGTGAGAGATGGCAATTACAGGGCCCTGCACAACCAAAATGAATATTTTATAAGGACTAAAACTGCCCTGGAATGAATCACACACATGGAGTCACACACACGTACACACTTACACGCACACGCAGTAGAGCACACAGCACACAAAGGTAGCACATATGAACCTGAGCAGTTGTCGCATTGTTGACAATATACAATTACATGATATAACACTCTTTGCAATATGAGATAATAATTTTTAATATGCTTGCTCATGACATTTCCTACAATATTTGGTTAAAAAATAAATGGGATTTATTCTAGTGATTGTTCTGTTTTGTTACAGCGCTGTGCAAATCTGTTTAACACAATTACAGCTGAGTAGATTTAGAGAATATTGCAGAGCTGGTTATAAATGTATTAGTGAGAATAACAGTAAAAGTGTTGTCAGTGTAAAGTGAGGTCTATACCGTCTCAGGAGACTCGCAGCCTTTACTTTTGACCCTGTAAATATGGTCTTTGTGTGTGTGGAGCGGAGGGAAGGGGGGCAAATGCTAATGGGAAAAGATTAAACCCAAAAGCCGCCTGGAGCATTTACCTCTAAAGGGTTTTGTCTGTCAGGTTTCCTGCAAAACTCTGTCTTTATAATTCTGAGACAAAAAATAACATTGTTCCCAGGTCCTGAGGAGAGCAGTGGTTTGGTTGAATGGCCATTGTGTGGACCTAGCTAATGATACCTTAGCTTTTGTGAACAGGAGGCCAGGTAGGTCTGTGACATCAGCGCCACACAAGCGCTCCTCTGTCCGGATGTTTAGGGAAGGATTTCGCCCGTGGTGGGAAAAGGGTATAGAGAATAAACAGGAGTGGTTTTGTGCCCTCCTGCCTGGGATAGATGCAACTCTGCAGGACGGTCTAAGGACAGTGATGATCCAGGACATGTATGGACATTTTTGAACATTTATGGACAAACCCTATGGACCTAATAATGGCTAATAATAATACAAATGGGTTATAATTGCATTTCCTGTGTTCTTTGATTCTCTAATCTGTTGACTATTGTTTAAAGTCCTCCAAGACGACTGCTGTTGTGAATCAGCCCTAACCAAAAAACATTGAATTGAACTTTGAAGAATTTTCAAAAGACTGCTTTTTAAACAATCCCACACTTTTATCGCATTTTTACTCCTGCTAGAATCGCCCTTTTTGCGCGTGACGTAACTCCAGGAGCACCTCTCTTCCTCGCTTTTTTCTATTTCAGCGGGAGCGTGGGCGTATTATCTACCCGTCCAAAGGGAAGATGGCAACCCTCAGAGGGAGCGGAGACCCCAAGCATGAAGACACAGATCGCATGTGTTAGAAAAAGTGACAGCGAGGCAAATGCTATGAGAAAGCTGCTTCCTTCCACTGTTACTGCGATACAGCCGACTGTTGTGAAGGCAGCTGACAAAACCCGTAGCGTGGCATGTCTCGCCCCGTTTGTGAGTTTTCAAAGAGTGTGATTTGCAAATAACATGAGTCTCTGGGCATAGACTGGGCATGTAAGTGCGCTGACTAAAGCCCCCCTGCTCTGCTGAGGGAAACCCATACTTGTCAGCTCAGTTCATTGTCAAGCGTCTGACAGATAAATAGATAGTGTTTTGCTACTCACTCCTGCCCGCGCAGTCTCCTCATACAGGTTGACTTGCTTTAGGGGAGGGATCGGCTGAAAGACACCCCACTGCTTCTGGGGCACTGACTGAAAATATTGTGGCCCACTTCAGACAGCCTCAAACAACAAACAATGGGGGTTGATGTGTAACCAGATAAAACGCAGATCGAATAGCTGGGTCTAAGCACCACTACAGGGCTTATTTTTCATGCAAATTACTACTAATGAGCTTCCTGAAATCTGACTAATTATATCAAAGTGATTTCTTTAATTAGTTTGTAATAATTCTGCACATAAACATCATAGTAAACAGATTACGCCACATGAAAATATCAATTTGTCACACTTTATACAAGATGCTGAGCACCAGACGCTAATCTAGCTTTTCTGGAGTGCTCAGGCAAACATTTATTAAAGAATTAAATATGTACTTAGGAAATGTTTTGTAATATACGGCGAGTGTGTTAACTCGTGCATGACTAAATGGCTCCTTGTTAATTATTTGCATTGATGCTGCAAAATTAAAATATACAATTTAATTAAACAAGTGGTGAATGTGCAGCTATAACTAAAGAGTCGGTTCATTACGAGTTATTATTCGATAAATGTGGAGTGAAACTAGTTATATGTTTTAATTAAATATTTTACAACTCTTTCATTAGTGGTTAATATCTGTCAGTATTTGCAGTTTCATTTTACGGCAAATACTTGTATAATTGCTGTAAAAGTTGAAACATACTAAACTAATTATACTGAAGGCCCACTACCTACTAAACTTTTTAGTCCAGAGTTTTGGTACATTGAGAACACACTATGTTTATGGAGTTAGGGCCTAGAAATGAACCAATTGCGATAGTATTTTTTCACCATGCATCATTTCTATAAGGTGTCTGTCCAGAGCAACTTACTAAAAGTCCACAAATTCAATATGTGTGCTGATACCAGAAAACAATTGTATTTTTTATTTTTTATTTACAGGTTAAAATTAGACTTTAATACACTTTCTTTCACTGTAACTATAGGCCTACATATGAGCCATACCATTTTAGGCATGTTTTATTAGTGTTCCTCTTATTTGCATATTCAAATACATAATTGAGAAACTTGTAATAGGAAAACTATACTTTTCATGGATACTTCCAGTCCGTTGAGTTTCATCGTGATTGGAATAACAAATTAAAAAAGCCAATTCCGCTGTCGTTGTCGGGTTGCATTGGCACACCTCTGGAATCTTTAGGTCCGGCGCCTCATACAGGTTAGAATATCGTTCAAAGATCTTTTGTCAATCAACTTGACGGACTCCATACATCTGCCTTTGTTTGTTATAATGTAAATAATTGTTTCATGAAAAAAAAACCACATAGAACTTAGAGAATGTGGACTATAAGCCATAATCATCAACATTATTACAAAGACACATGTCACTCTGCCTGTCATATATATATATTTATAGATACATTCACAATTTAAACTGAATTACAGAAAGAAATGAACTTTTGAACAATATTCAAATTTTCCGTCTGTAGAAATGATCTGCGCTGAAAAAAACACCATCACAATGTGTTCCTCTCAAAGCGGAGAAGCTTACAACACTTTCACGACAACTTGAGTCAATCCACTATACGTTACATCTTACATTTCCTGCAGCACATAATCCCCGTCGCACTCACTCACATCATATCAAGGTTCTCGTATGAAAAACAGCAGACATGGGACCAGATAACAAAATCGCATTTATCGAGCACTTTGCACCTCTACTTAATCTCCAGGCATTCTTCAAAGCCCTGAAGAGTTGCCTCAAACTGGGAACAGAACTTGCACACGACCAGCCATTTTCTCTGATACCCTCAATCTGCACTGAGATGGATTAAACATTCAATTTGTCCCCTCCGCCCTGACGCCCGCCCATGCTCTATAGACCACCACCCAGGTCCACCACTTACCATACAAATGGAAAACACGCTAGTAATCTATTAGCCTGCCCAGTCTGACAATGTATTATGTTGTATTTGTATTATATTTACTTCAGGGAAATTACGATTCTAGTCATATTTATCTTCATGTGGAAATGTGTGTCTAAATGGAAATCACCTATACAGCCAGGCGGATGCGGAGCCATACTAATGTGATCCATGAACCGTGCGATTTAGTCACCCACTATGGATGCACTATGGGCTGGTTCTACATATCAAACATGCGCTCCCCCTGTTAAAGCCCCAACCACGGAGCCCCTGATGCTGTTTGATAATTATTACGCTTACATTACAACACAAGACCTTGCCTGTAGAGCCGCCGCTGCTACTTCACCCACGACTCACCCCCCCCAACACTCCCTCCCTCACCCGCACACAAGTTGCACACATGCCTGCGCGCCCCCTTTGTCATATACTGTAGTAAACAGCTTCCCCGGTAAGCTGTTTGCACTTCACTGCCCGCTCTAGGAAATAAAAACAAAGAGCAAATTGGGGGTTTTGCGTCTCTCTGTGAATAAATAAGGTTGTTTTACTCACAGAATCCATTACCTTTTAAAACACCCGGGCCTAATGCGTTGAGCCTTTTCATTTTAACAAACAAAGCCTAAATTAGGAATTAAACGCAGTCGTATTTAGATAACGGCATTAGCTGTGTGACATCAATGTGCTGGGAAAAAAAGTTGGACGCCATCCATATCATTCTCATGCTTCCATTGTTACGTTAAATTGCAATATTAATCCTGGCTGAGACCAAGTTACTGTAGCTTTTATGTGGCGCACTTGAATTATGCTATCGAAGTAATTGATAGTGATTCACTCATTGAAGGTACTAATCCCATGATTCACTTCATCTCTCGCAGTGCCATTTACCTCCAGATGTTTAGAGTTTGGGGTAATCAATAAAGAGGGAATAAAGATTGGCATCCACAATACTCCTCTTGACAAGCTCCAGCCGAATGTTTGTCAAGCAAATTAAACACACTTAGACTTTTCACCTGCTCCTACAACGACACCACATATGGCCGTGAAGTTAAAAATAAGAAACTGTGCATACATTACCATGCATAATGCAGAACTCCCTCCATTTAATATGCAAATTTTGTAAAATATTACTGAATACCTTCTGTTCGGAATGAATAAATTTGAATTGCAATTAGAATAATCTTGTATAATTAATGAAAACTGTCAATTTTGGTTCCGAAGTAATTTGATTAGCATGTTGATAGGACACTTATCAAGTTCAGTAAACTGTTAGATTAAGAAGATGAAAAAAGAGAAGATTCTAAGGATATTTTTCTCAACGGCGCTGACATTTTCCCTTGGCATTGTAAACAAAGGCAGGAGCTGGCAAACTTCCTGAATGAGGGAGGCAAGGGATGGGTGGGAGGAGAGTGGAGTAAGAGAAAAAGGAGAAACCGAAAGACTACTAGGACAGCGATGGAGAGCCTCTTGAGATAATCTGTGGATGGGAGTCCGCACATGAAACGCAGTCTATCGGTCTAGGCTCCTGCACGAGCTACTCATCTCTGCCCTCTGCACTCCACATAAGCCCAAGTTTATGGGATTTATCTCAGCAGCCATTTGTAGAATTTCACATCACATGATCAGAGTAAAAAAAAAAAAAAAAATAGAAAGAAAAGATGGCTTCGGCTTTTTCTAAATGTTTTCAGGCTATGAATGTAAGGGTTGCATTGTAAAAAAAAATAAAAAAAATATGAAGCACAAAAAAATCTGACAACTGATCTCGGGCCGCAATCCTTCTGAGAGTAGCTATCTATTAACGATCAACAAATTGATGTACGCCATTGTTGCGGCGTATAAAACCGAACCATCTGTACAGTCTACAGATGAACAGAGCGCCTGACCTCCTTTCCCCCTCTCTTTCTCTGCTCATTAGCTATCCTCAACCTCTCTCGGCTGCCTTCAGTTTTCAAACCCCCAAATGAGACCTAAATCGCTTGCAATACAGGTTAGCTGGAAGAAGAGTGGGGAGCGGAGCGGGAGAGAGGGGAGGGGAGGGGGGCAACATCTGTCGCACTAGGTACCCGCATGCAGCTCGGGGTATCTCCTGCGAGGAACTTTGGGGATGTTTAATTCATAAACGCTGTCATCCATGTAAACCTCCTGATTTGATAATGACTAACTCTTGGTGGTTTAATTAATTTAATAATGCCTTTCAGAAGCCATAAATGAAAGGGTCTCTGAAGTGGTGCATTAATTAGCCAGTGCCAATGCTAGTCCTGTCAAACTGGTGTCTGTCAAAAAGACAGGAGGGGGCGGGAGAAGCTGGAGGATGGGCACACACAGCTGACGCGCAGAGGTCAAGGATCGTGCCAATCAAGGCCCCCGCTTCCCACACGTAATGGAGTCATAATGTGTGTCGAGTGTACATGTGTATCCGGGTCAACCTGTGGCCCTGTCCGCGTTCGCCCTCTACCAGACTACATGGAAATAAGTGGCAGGACCGACACAAGCAACACTCTCGGTAATAAGCGTTGGCATGGTCGCATTATGCATAGACTTGTATTTGCATGGCATACCTGTGAAAGCAAAATCTGTCTGGGCTCTAGTTTCCACCGCAATATAAGCTTGATGCCATTAGTGGATTCCCTTTTTGCTTTAATTACAGTGTTATGGCTTACTTGTTAAAACATAGCATAAATCAAAGTTCATTAAAAGTCTCGCCATCGCAACGCATGAGCACACAAAATCATCACAGAACCAACCAGATTATATTCCAAACTAACTCCATGCATCTCATAAGGAGGTTGTTTTCCTTTTTCATATTTCATAAATATGAACCAGAGATGCTTGTGTCTGTGCCTGTCCATTTATTACCATAAAAATCAGCTGACTGAAGTATCTCACTATCTGTGGAGGCAATTAACTGTTTTGAGAGAATGCGTAATACGGGACTTTGTAATGGTATCATTTGGAGTCAAGGCACAGATGCGCCGTGCAGAGCCATACTGTAATTAGAGAGAAACGCTGTACAGGTTTTCCACTAATTAGCAAATTATGCTGAAAATAGCATCAAGCTAATTAACAGTTATTATGGCATTTTTGAAAGTATGACTTTAATTAGCAAAGTCCTGACGCAGGCAATTTCAAACTCGTCTCTGAGAAGATGAGGAAGAAGGAGAAGAGGGAAAAAAACATGGGGCATGATCAAGAAGATCCCCAGATTATTATGATGCCGTCAAAAGCAGAGGAGGGGGAGGATGGACTGAGCAGGACGGGGCGGGGGCACAGCTTTGTGTGTTGTGTCTGAATCTCCATCCAAATGAGGGGACATGTGTGCGCTGCCACGCTGCCAAGAGGAGCAGTGTCAGGTGGTGGCTACCAGGCGAAGACGAAAGCGAGCTCAGCTGGTGCCCACAGCCACTCACTTATTCTACTCCGCTGCACATTAAAGCAGCCCTCGAGTGGAGCCAAGCCACGCCAGCCCTGCCAGCCAACCTGACAACAACACTCCTCCTCCTCGCCTCCAACAGCTCCTCTTAGCACTTCCAGCCACCTTGGACCTAATGATGCACACTCAACCTGCTGAAGAATCTGCAGCGGCTTATCATGAGTAACTTATAGAAAGTTCATCAAATTATTTTCACAACTGTGTTCATACTTTTTTTAATCTTCTTGAACATTAAACAGAGTGCGGTAAAAGTTTCCTGCTAATTTATTTTAAAGACACCTGTGCAGAAGTGTTTGATGCACGGTGTCACAGAGCTGGAGACAGTGGACGAGTGTGGAGAAGGAGAGGGCTGGACTGAGGCTCTTTGAAGGCCCTGTGTGTGAGGCAGAACAGAAGTGTGCCTAGCCCCAGGCAGCCCGCGGCTCAGGCCCATTAGCTAGACTGACCTTGCCCGCGCCTTTGTCTTTGCTGCTTCTCACATTCCCTTTGTGTCCCGAGATGGGATGGGCCCCCGGTGGTGGTGCACTGTCGAATCCTCACAGGCTCTGATTTCTGTTCGCGAGGTTCCTCTCCGTTCCCTACACTAGAATGCCATGGCTGGGCGACCCGCCCACTGGTGAGAGACAAGCCAAATTACATGTACCTTGGACTCGCAGAAAGCGGTATAAAAAAAACTACTTACTACTTACTACTTCTACCCCCCCCCTGTCCTCACCCCCTCCCTGCATGTGAACATACCCATGCCCCCCCATGCTTAGCCTGGAGCGTGTGCCCCAGAGGCCATGGTACAGTGGCATTCCTAGCTGGTGGTCACCTCTGCCCTGACGTGGACTTGGCCTGAATGGTCAGCAGGCAGAACAACCTCCAGAGACAACGCACTCCAAGGCGAGACAGGGCAGAGGGGGCGCTGCAGGGCCCCGCATACGTGCACCCACTCTGGGCAGCCTGCCTCTTTATTGCCTGCCTCTCATTTGAGAGGATGGAGCCCGGCTGCCAAGTTTTGACACCGCCACATATGGCCTCCTCCATCAATCGGACTAATCAAGCATCAAGGGGAGGCAGGACCGGCTTAATTGCCAGCCAGATATAGCTGCTCTCACTTGACGTGCAACCTGAAATAGAAACAGGTCTGAGGAGACATGACAGGAGATAAATGAATACGGCCATTGTTCTATTAACTATATCAAAATACTCCTCCAGCCAGCATTCGCTACACGGCATCTCATCTCGCAAATCAAATTCATTAAATAATTGCTCTATAGAGAAAGTTGTATATATATTTATTTATTCTCTGTTAAGAATGGGGTTAAGTTGAAAAAGTTGGGTTTTATGTTGCACTTCAGAATTTGGCTAGATGAGAAACAGATGGAGGAGCGGGATGACTGGGAACAAATGGGCCTGAACCAGGGCATCGAATCCCGGCTGCTGTGTATATAATATATATATATATACACATAAATAAATATTATTGGTATGCACTTTTCCAGGTGAAATATTTCTCCACATCAAAAAAACATGACGGAAAACTCCCTGGGACTGGCCCCACAAACATGAACAGCGGCTAGTGCAAGAGCCGCTGTGATTGCATTTTAACAAGGCAAATCAACAGTATTGCAAATATTGCCTTAATATAGCATCATCCGCTCATTAAAATGTGGATTATGTTCACATTTGTAATCTTTGGTACCTCAGGATAGAGCAGTGTACAGTAAGTTGTTAAGGAGTTTTTTTTTTCGTATTATTTCCCATGCAAGCCGCAACGTTCTGGAGTCCTTGAGGCGTTGTGTCTGCCTATGCTCGCCTCTCTCAACTTCCTGTTTCCCTGCGCCCCCCGCCGAGGGAGCAGCCACGGAATAACTTAGCACTCGCAATGAGACTCGGAGATCAACCGCGGACGCTCCATTCATCTTGAGTTTCTCCTGTCGCTCCTTCTTTTCCGTTTGTAAACAGTGCGGCGCTGTGGTCAGAATGGCCTTTTGTCCGATCGTGTTTTCTCCCCCCGTCCCTCTCTCATTCACTTCAAAAGGTAACAAGTGACAGATGTCCGTCTTTGGGCGCCGTCTTAAACGTCCCGGGCTTCCGAGATAGCATCTGGGCTGAATGTCAAACTGTGAATCCCCCCCTCTTCCCCCCTCCCATCATTCAGATTGCACTGTGCTTATGCCAACTCATTGTTATGTATGTCAAGGCCAGTGTCTACACAAGAATTTTCGAGACTCCCTGTCGTTCCTGACGCTTGGGGGGCACAGATGTTTCAATGATTGACAGTTATTGGTGTACAAAATAAAGTAAGTTAGAATTGAGGATGGATTGCTCAATTAAAAGAAATATTAAGACTGCCTGGTGGGCTGGAAGTTTCCCTTTAAAAACTGACTCGGCATGGAGCTGCGAAACCGCGGGATGCAGTCGTAAAAACAATAATGAAAAAATAATGGTTATAATAAAGTTTGGAATAAAAAGTGGCAAAGGTGGTGCGCTTGTAATCACAGCACGGCGCGCTGTTTACTTAACATTCTCATTTCCATCGCTGCCTGCTTTCGGTATTTACATGTTTAATTGAGAAGTGTGCTGCCTCTTCCTTGTGCCCATCTGCCGAGTCCCTTCCTCTTATCAGGCTCATTTCTCAAACTGACAGCTCTCCCTTCCTGCATAGCGCTCTCTTCACTCCCCGTGCCACGCCAGTACTAACTTGCCACCCGCCCATGCTCGCCATCCTCTTCAATCTGTCTGTCCATGAGTAACGACAACGTGCTTTCCCTCGCATCAAAACCATAAGTACTGTATGTGCACAGCGCGGAGAAGCCCACATAGAAACTCTCCCTTTCAAACCTGTCTGGGGTTTTTTTTTTCTCCCCGTCCTTTTTCTTAAAGCCACGTCTAAATCACTGGCTGTCAAATGCAACATGTGTGTCATTGTATCCCCATCAGTGTGTTTCATTGTACACACTCGCACCTCTGAAGAGTAGCCTCTTATCAGTCTAGTGTCAGAAAGCCCCCCGAACAGTCGCGGGCCCCCACCTCCAGCGCTTGCCTTTTCTAAATGCTTTTCTATTAAGAGCTGTGTTGTGTCCCTGTGATAGCAGAGTCCACTTCATCATTCATAATCCCAATGGGCATCAATGGACTCTACAGACCCCCCAAAAAAGGGAGCTTTGTCATTCGGTGCAAATGAAAACAAGCTAAATGGGAGCGGAAATCTGAGGAATTCAGCAGAAGAGAGAGAGACAAGGAAATGGCTCAATAGGCCAAAGCACTCCAGCCATGAATGGTCCACTCCACAGCGTGGCACTGGCATAACATCATATGCACCTAGTGGGCTGTGGGCAGGCTCTGATTCAGGCTTGTAAAGGACACAGGACACATGGAGAGCATTTTACAAAGTGTAAAAACATACCATTTGTGTTTGGCTTTTCATTCGCTTTGAGTAAAGAGCAATGAAACGAGCTTCTATTTTATGCATAACATGCATGAAACTGTCTGAGGCTGCCTTAAGACCCAGGGCAAAGAAAACACACTGCACATCATTTTGTTTGAATATTTGTAAAAAAATAAATAAAAAAAAACTAAAAAATAATGGACATAAAAACTTATAATATCAAATTATACATTATGATCAGTGTTGGGTAGGTTACTCTAAGATTGTAATATATTTATAGTTACTCGGATAGAAATGGTAAAATATATTGTTTTCAAAGGTCACCGAGTCACACCAATTTGACTAACACTAATAACTAATTACAATCAAAGTTACAAACTCAAATTACATACCAATCTACAAAGTTACACATAGTATGTAATTATTTTTGAAATATATTCCAAAAGGAATTAGATAATCCATACACTGCTTTTGATTATATATATATATATATATATATATTATATATATATATATATATATATATATATATAAATTTCATATATTTCAAATATGTTTTGTCTTAGTTCTGCATTTCTCATATACCAGTCTGTTTGGACTGAGGAGGTGCACTGTCCTCCATGAATATGAAAGCTCGTGATGTGAACAAGTGTTTTGTCCAAACCAGTATTTGAACATTTGCACATTAGAGCAGAGGCTAAGTTACAGCAGCTCCAAAGTCTAAAATGATGTTCCCGCCCTTCTCAGCGTGCAGAAGTCCCGCTGGGGGCCTCAATGTGATCAGCAGCATCCCCACCACGTCTCCTCATTATTGAGTAAATAGGTTTGGGCATGTCCTCAGTAAACAAAGCCAAGACTGACAGTTAAGGGAGTGAGGGGAGTGGGAGGCAGCCTCGTTCCCAATTAGAGTCGCCTCAGGCAAAACTTTAAAGAGGAGATCAATCCTACAGATCGCTAAACTGATCCTGTCACAGGCTGGGGATATTTAAACCGAGGCGCAGAGCAGAGCGCACAGGGCACTGCTCACTACAGTCGGACTGTGTGTGCTAATGACTCGGGGGGAGGCTCTCTCACCAGGACACACGCCCCACCGCGCGCCCGTGTGATTGACGGCTCAAATCGGACCTCAGCTGCACTTCTCTGCTCAGTGGGGGCCAGATGGGAAAATAGTGATTTGCGTTTTTAGTATGCAGCACCTCCGCTTATGGATATTTCCTAATTGTCTGCCTTACTTACCTGTGAGGCTGCTTCCTATCACAGATGCAGAGTACATTTCAAATTAACCCAGGATGTCTTGATTTTTTTTCTTCACCTCCACCTTTGAGGCAGACTTATTAAAATTTGCCAGTGGGACTTATTCCTGTCTGTGGAGTCCAGGTGGAAAGTTCCTCTCTGCTCATGTTAAGGAGCTAACATGGGGTGAATGAAACTGGAATGGAGGGATGACACCTGAGTTGAATCACATTGACAATCCATGACAACCTGCTAAAGCAGCGCTACCGTATCTTTGAAAGCAACAGTGTGGAGCTCCTATGCTCACATGTGTAATGAGGTAGCACGAGCATGCCACCGTAGAGGAAGTGAACATTTAAATAAGCCAGTGATGCATTATGTATATGACTGAGGCTCCTGTGCTCAAATTAATCATGATCATAAAGGGAACAGACAAAACATCTCACTCTGGCCACCGCTAAATTGTTGTGATGTAATCCAAAACAAATACATTTTTCATGGTATGAAAGATAAAGCAAATCTTAAAAGGTTTGGTTTTGCTTGTCTGCCTCCCTTATTGAGAGTCATTCACTTTTAACTTTATTTGCGGATTATTGCAAATCCCCAGTACAAATCATATCATGATATCATGTAGCTGGGACATTGGATGTGTTCTGCTAATGCTCAAGGATGATCCCCTGAGGGAGCCGCTGAGAGAGGGAGCAGGGCAGAAGAAAAGAAGGCACATAGGAGGAGAGGAAGTGAGGAAGAGGGAGGTGAGGAGACAGACTGGAGGAGGAGAACAGGAGCAGGACAAGCAGAGAGGAGGGGAGGGCGCCGGCAGTCAAGCTGCACTTTATCCTGACAGATCTCCTTTACACACTAATTTCCTTGTTAAAGAAGAGAAAATGGCACTCAATCCGCAGAAATCCTTTTCTCCTGGAGCAGGCCTGTCAGCTGAGGGATGAGTGGATACAAGCAGAGCTTTCCTCCTCAGGCGAGCTCCCCCTGGCACACAGCAGCTTGGCTACAGCTCGCAGCAGAGCTCTCTATCTATAGCCATAATTAATACACCATCCGAATATAATGAACCATACCATGATACATGGATTCCACTGCTCGCTGTCGACACCACTCATTTAACAGCTTGCTGGAAATCAGATGTGTAGTCAATTGATTTTTTGATCATGTCATCGCCATCACAAATGGCAAACAAATTGTGTACAAACATTTCATGCTCAGTTGCTGTTTATAAACATTCCCCATGACAGAACGCCACTCCTCCTTCAATCACACTTTTCAACACAGACAATAAATTCAACAAGGCCACATGTTTCACAGCCACATGTTTATCGCTGAATTTGTAATTCACCAAAGTGTATTAAGTAGGATTGGAAAAAAGGGAGCACAGAAAAGCCTCCTTTATTTTAAGTCCGGGTGT